GAAACCACCCTCATAACTCCGTTCAGAGAAACGCTCGGCAAATTTGGAAGGCACATTTGAACTCAGCATCCAAAAACACGTCTAGCAGTGTAGGTCTTATTTCAAATGGCCACTTCGACTTGGGATCCTTCCCTGGTCAGCAGAAAGGCTGAGGAGCTTCACGTTGGGGCTCATACTGCGAAGAAATGAAGAACAGGGTGAAGTAGTCTGAGTTTTATCATTTCGACTGACTCCACTCACAAGAATTGGCAGTTCCAGGAGCCCCTTCGCGCGATGTACCTGATAGATAGTTCCATGAAATAAACCACATGGATTCAATCGAAAATTTTCTGGACTGCCGTCGCTGTTGTTCCGTATCTCTACACAGAAACAGAGCATCGTCTCCTTCGCACTAGGCACCGTTCCCAGCAGGTGGAGAGTGCTGCGTAATCGAAAAAACGAAACATTGAGAGCGCCATGAATTGGATCACGTCGTTTCGCTTGCCTACTCATGGAAGGCTTCCATCACCGACAACATTGTTAACAACTGTTCTGTGAAGCAATCCACGATATGCTACGAAAGCAGAAAATCTACAAGTTCCAAAAGACGTCTATTTTCGAAGACTTTCGAGCTGATAATTCAGCATGGAATTGCGCGAGCTGTAAGGAATAACCAATCAGCATACGGAGCTTGCAGAGCCAAATAAAAATCGATGAGGGCGCATCAGCAATACCTGCAGGAGCTTCGCCAGTTGACCCAGGAAACGCCAGATGAACAAGAAGACGGCTGCGGCGCGATTGTTACGATTGCTGGACTTATACACGGAAGCTCTTAATGAAAGAAATGCTATATTTCTGTATCTCGAGGAAATCGATGATCGACGAGATGATAGATGATACAGGTGATATAATATATAACATACCAGCCGGTCGCCCGGATAACACCAGGCTTCCCTCCTCACTATACCAGGGCTGTAGTAATCGGCAAACCGGCCGCTCTTTATTTGGAACAAAAGATTTTTCGGAGCACGAAATTTGACAGAGGACTAATAGGGCACACAATGATTGTGACTCATGACCCAAATTGCGCTGATACTTAAGCCATTGATCAGAAGCCCCGATCTGTCGCTGTTCATCTTAAAAACTATTGAAGGTCCATTGAAGGTCCAACTGGTAGGCAGCCAATGCCTCGAATGATACTTACAAATGTTGTCGAGTCATAATAATACCATTATCAAATGTCTTTATAAATGTAGATCCTTTTCTCTACGGATACATCATCAAATGAGAATAAAAGATTTTTAGCGGTTGGATAAGTTTTGCCAAGAATGATATCAAAGCAGGTGGAAACCGTGATTTTCCATTAAAACGCAAATGTTGGTGGGTAGCGGTCGTAATATAATAGCAAGAAGTGATTTCAAGTTGCGTCGCCTTATAATCACACCAATTACCCTTCTTTTCTAATGAAACATATCAAAAAGTCAAAGCTAGATCGTAAATAACAAAGGCGCTAGGATTCAATTGGTGAGTGGATCTACTTCTATAGGACCTTTTCTATTTTCAGTTTTCCCATCCC